TGGACAAGTTGATCAAATAATCTCTAATTATGGCTGAGCTGAAATATGAAAGAAAAACTGTAGCTGTCATAAAAAGCCCCATTTTATCTTTAACTGCACGAGCATCTGACAGATAAATCAGCTTATAAATGAGATGCAGTAAATTTGACAGTTTTGAGAGGAGCAGCAGGATGAGATAAAAGCTGGAGGAAGGAGCTGGACAACCAGCTAGTTTTGTCAGGGGAAAACCAGCTCTTTTTTTACAATTACAATTAAATGACTCTCGTCATCCTGACTTACATTGAGCTCTATGATCCAGAGCAGGGTGATGAACAGGAGGTCAAAGGTGACGAAGAGGCAGAAGGTCCTCCTCACGTCCGAGATGCACTTCTTCTCACCAGCTTCGTACGACTCCCCCCTCACAGAGACCAGCGTAGCATTCAAACCTCTACTGGTTTGCCGGGAGTCGATGCTGCCGCTGCATTGGCTGTCCATCTCAGACCACGCCCCCTGGCAGGGCTAGCCCCACCCACCGCTCAGCGCTCAGGAGGAGGATTTAGAGCCGGCAGCTCATCGAAGCACAAGGCAGGGTTGGTTCGGTGAACGTGGGGTCAGTCTGTGGCGAACTGCATCACTGCATCTGCAAAACAACACAGCTTCTCTCACGATCTGCAAAAAACATCAATATGCAGCTTCACTTCAAATAATTTTAAAGTCAGACGTCACGAACAAAAGTAAATACAAACATGAGGACTATTTAATAGCATTACTTAAAATTGCATTTCAAACCTTATAAATCCTCATTGCTTTGCAGCAAATGAAGCTGAAACACTTTAATCTGAACAAGTAAATCAATGTAATTTGTAATACTACTTTCCTCATCAGGCTGTGAAGTATCACTTTCAATTTCATGTGCAATATTTCAGTTTCATGTGCATTATTTCAATATCATAAGTAATATTAACATACTACTTCAGTATCATTGCCAGTAAACTTCTTACTTTTCTATTCTAGTCTTATTTAAGCAGAATTATTTTCATTTCCAGTGATGTACCATACTTATCACATTGCTTTTCTACTTGGCACTTCATTTATTCTCATGTTATGTTTTCGTTTTTTGGGGGGTTTTTTTAGCAAGTATCCAACACAAAATTTCCCTGCAGAGTAAATAAAGTTCCATCTTATCTGTTCTGTGGCTCGTGTGTTTTTACTGGGTTTTCAACAATAATGGAGCACAGAGAAATCAGACTGTCACACTCTTGTTGACAAACACAAACGTGTTTCAGGTCTCTGAGTTTCTGAGAGTCTCTGGTTTCATGTCTCGAGGTTTTGAGACATTTGCTTCAATACACTAAAATTTTGCTGACAGCCCTGAAAAATTGCATTTAATACAACTTAAAAATGTGACAGGAGAAAAAGAAGAAAAAAAAAACTCATAGAAACTTCCCCAAACTCCAAAGATAATAGATAGATACAACTTTATTGATCCCTTTGGTATGAACCTCAGGGAAATTGTTGATTAATCAGGCTATTGTGAAAGAAAAACTGAAAATATTCTCAGCTAAGAGCAGAGGAATTTAAGCACTCCACAGAAACATCTATTTCTGGGTTTTTCAGCCAACTAAAAAGGCCACACTTCCCAAACGCATCATTTGAGGCTAATGAACAAGGCAACCAGAGTTGCAAAGTAAAATAAAGGCAAATTAAAATTATAGAGTTCTTTCTGAAGTGATCACAACATCGACAGCTGGACAGTTATAACTTTAGAAGGCCTGATGTTAAACCTAATCACTGCTTCAGTGAAAAAGAAAAACCCTGTAAAAATCATGTGACATACACAGGAAATACCCCTGTTACTGTCTGCTGCTGGACTTTTGCACTTGACCTCATTCCCATTTACAGTCTACAGTTTCTGTGTTGAAGAAGTGAAACTACCGTAATTGTGCTTTTGCATTAACTGCCAATCCATCCGACACAAAAAGATGCAGACTCATGATTTTCATATTTTACACTTCAGTAATAAATCAGCTTCATCTTTACATTTTAATCTACAAAATTCATGTATCTGCATCTCTAATTAGCTTCTTTTAGTCGTAACAAATGAGCTAAAATGCAGAAAACTTAAAGTGCAGATCTAACACAAACCGGTTGTTACAATCCAACGCTTTATCTGTGTCACTGAGATCAACAGAAAGCAGTTTTATAATAAACTGAAGGCACTAAACAAACATACAGTTAAACAGCCTCCTCCTGAGTCCTGTCATTTACTGTAATTTCCTCTGAAACTAAAACCTTCTTCCATTTGCAGCTTCCTCTTCTCATGACGGAGCTTTTACAGCTTCAACCCATCTGATGGTTGAACTGATTTAACCCAAAGCTGAACTTTTGTGGCTAAACTATTTCATATTGCAGTTATTCCTAAACATGGTTTGTAAAATGAGTCGGTACCTTTTCTGTTTGGGTCACAGTGGTTAAACGGTCTGATAAATGCAGATTCAGTTAGTTTGCTGAGGCAGTAATGTCAGTTTCACATTACGGAGCGTGATGTTTGATCAGCAGCCACCTGAGGGAGGCTGATGATGCGAGTGCTGGTCTGACTTGTCTGAGCGAGCAGGAACTAGAATATCCTCTGAAAAAAAACGCATTGTCGAAGTAACTTTGCATACAGAAAGTCAGAGTACGAAGAAGACAAACCGGTTTAACAGAGTCACAGCCAGATTTAAAAAAGGTTGTGCTGCTGTTTTCCAAACTTCAAGACAAAATAAACTTTACTGATGCCTTACTGGGGTAATTCATATATTACAACAGCTACATAAAAACAAAACTGCAAAAAACAGGACAATAAATAATAATAATAATAATGACTCTTTACAGATTTCACATGACACGATGAATCATTTTACTGCTTGTTTAACTCAGCAATGGAATGGAAAATATAAAGTTTACAAGCTTACTGTCACTCTTGAGAAACTTTGATGGTCAAGTGTTTCACATTTTTACTTAAAAAATTATGAAAACTAATCTGATTATCAAAATAGTAGTCAGTCAATGAAATAACTTTGAATGATTTTCTGGCCAGTCTGACCCACAATCCCCTGCACAGTTGCGTCGTGTTGTAAAAAAAAATCTTCATGTGTTTGCGTCACTGGAAAGCTCATTTCACACTGCAGACTGTGACGGATACACGGTGAAGTTTAAGTTTGACGTGCAATAATATGACAAATTAATATGTTATATTAATGCTGCCTCCAGCCAAAGACTTTCCTCGTCGACTAGAAGTCATTCATTCAGGTCCTTAGTCAACTAGCTGTACATTTTCAGTTCAATAAATATGCGTGAGTGTCATGTTAACAGTATCGACAAAGCATCAAGGCTGGTGTAATTACAAGAAAAAGAAGTTAAAAAGAATACAATGGAAGTTATTAAGTGGAATAGAGAAGTAGAATAGGATTGTTGCATGAATTAGTATGAATCACCATATAATGATAGTTTGCTTAGTGTTTCGTGTTTGTGTGTGTATGTTATGTTGTCAGTTGTGTGTTTTTTTCCTTTATAAAATGCTTTAATCATCTGGCGGGTGACTACAGATGAAAATGATCTTATTGCTAACTCTGGTGCAGAAATACTTCATAACGTACACTGTCCCTATTTTAAATACATTTCATAAGAATTTAGTTATGTACATATATATACGTTTTGAGGACACCACTTATTTGAGTTCCAGGGCACAGAGAGAAAGTTTTGAGTAATATCGTTAATAATAATAAAATTAGAAGCAGGAAGTTTCTTCATTTAAATCAACACAAAACTGAGGTTATTGTATTTGGCCCTAAACACCTCAGAGACACACTGTCTAACCAGATAACTACTCCGGATGGTATTGCCTTGGCCTCCAGTTCTACTATAAAGAACCTTGGAGTTATTCTTGACCAGGACATGTCGTTCAATACACATACAAAGCAAGTTTGTAGGATGGCCTTCTTTCATCTTCGTTAATATTGTAAAAATGAGGAGCATCCTGTCTCAGAGTGATGCTGAGAAACTAGTCCATGTATTTATAACTTCTAGACTGGACTATTGTAATTCCTTATTATCAGGATGTCCCAATAACTCTCTCAGAACTCTCCAGCTGATCCAAAATACTGCAGCCAGGGTTCTGACAGGAACCAGTCAGAGATCACCAGTATTAGCTTCTCTTCATTGGCTCCCTGTAAAATCCAGGACAGAATTTAAAATCCTGCTTCTAACATATAAAATTCGTAATGACCAGCTCCATTTTATCTTAAAGACCTTATTGTACCGTATCATCCGAACAGAGCCCTTCGCTCTCAGACTGCAGGTCTACTTGTGGTTCCAGAGTTTCCAGAAGTAGAATCAGCTCTCAGTTTGGTTTCTGGAGGCAGACACCCTCTCTACTTTAAGATTAGGCTTCAAACTTTCCTGTTTGATAAAACTTATCATTAGAACTGCTCAGGATCACCTGAACTGTCCCTTAGTTATGCTGCTATAGCATTAGACTGGGGATTCCCATGATGCACTGGGCTCCTCTACCCTTCTCTCGTCCATACATATATCATCATTACATATCACTAACTCTGTTTCCTTTGAAGTTCCTGTGCTCTTTCTCTCTGCGGATGTCTCTGGATCTGGAGCTTCACGTCTCTGATCTGCAGGTGCTGGCCTCACCAGCCCCCCAAATATTTATTGTCTGTTCTATTGACTGTTCTCCATCTGCTATCCTGCTATCCCCACCCCCCTCATCCCCACTCTCATCCCAACCGGTCGAGGTCAAACAAAAGTATTCTGTATGTTTTGGTCTGTATTGTGACATGCAGCTACATGGTCCAGAAAATATCACTAGCTGAATTCTGCATTATAATTTTTTTTTGTTAATATGAACTTAAAGATGGGACTTTTTAAAGACCACTTCAGCTTTTAACTCACCATAATCAGAGACTATTTAATCTACGTTTCCAATATTACTGATTTTGAATCAAGGACATGATGAGAAGTAGGAGTGAAAATGTCAGGTTTCCATCTTTAATGTTTAGTAAAATATTGTTATTCAAATAGCGTGAAATTTCAATGAGCAGATAAACATGCTGAAAGTGGGTCAAGGGTCAATTTGTCTTTCAACTATCTTCCAAAACATCTGACATATAAATCTAAAATTTTACAGATGCCATCCATCCTAAATATCCAGAGTTTATGATAATAAAAAAAAAAGCTTCAAGTAAATCAGAGACAGCTGACAAGAAGACTCTTGATTTGAGATGGAATAGGCAAGATGCTTTTTACTGAAGCTTCTCAGACAGTCACAGTTAGTAAATAGATGTAATAACTGTGTAATGAGATGAAGGAGGCATCACTGAGTCTGGACTCACCTGCACCAACAGGTAAACATGCTCCTCCTGAGTGGCTCTGCAGGCCTGACATGACATTATAACCCTCCTGTGCAGCTCTAAGCCCGTGGAGCCTCTCACAACCACAAACACTGCCGCTAATGTCTGCTGCTCCCCAGAAACACAGAAAATACTGAGCAAAAAGTGCAGCTAGTACCAGAAAGCGCAGAACAAACACAGAGGGAGGCCAACAAAACCAACAATAACTACAACAACACAGAGCTGGACCCTTTAACACACACCTGCACGGCTCAGACAGGTGTATCCGCAAATACAAACCAGAAGGTGAAGATATCAAACCGAACCAGTGATCTCAGCGCAGCTGTGAGGCCGTTTAAGGATGCTAACAGGAGTTTAACCTGGCGCAGAGTTCATTTGACAGCTAGCTAGGATGCTAGTTAGCTCTAACCGCTGCGTTAGCGTCGGTTTTAAAAGGCGCCGTGAAGCTTCTTACCTCCTAAACTCGCTCCTTCAGGACTTTAGTTCTCTGATTTAACCCTCGGAGGACTTCAGCGGCAGAGACGAGGGTCAGTGCAGCGGACAAGTCATCTGTTTCCTCCAGCAGCTCGGACAGGACGGAGGCGGCAGCGTAATGAAGAAACACACGCGGAGGATTCTGGGTCATGAAGTCCGCAGCGGCACCGCGAGCTCTCAGGAGACGCAGCGCCACAGATATGTATGCCTTTATTAAACATATCTATGAGCAGCGCTCCACCTGGCGGCCATTTTGGAAACCAGCAGCTTTTATTGTTCTGCCTTCGATAATCCATTCATCCAGCCATCCATCATCTACAGTGGTCCTCAAATTTATTCATACCCTTCCATTAAAGAAAAGACAAAATTCACAAGTCACTCAAATAACTAGTAACTGAAGTAATCAGAAAAAAAAAAATTGCTAAATTAAAATGAAGTGAAATAAGACATTGCTTTTGAATTGTGGTTGAAAAGAATGAAAAAAAAAAAATACAGACAAATTAGAGCACTTTACTGATGAGCAATGGGCCGAAATCAAAATACCTGTCAACAGGTGCAGAAGTCTGACGGAGAGTTACAGAAAACACTTGACTGCAGTGATTACCTTAAAGGGTTGTCCAAAAAATATTAGTTTACGGCTCCCATCATGCTTGTTTCTTTTGGGGGGGTTTGTTTGTTTGTTTGTTTTTTAATTTGCAACATATACGATATATTTATAATACCTAATATTGTCAATACATTTAAATTAGTCTGGTAAATTTGTGTTATAATATTCGGTCTAACTCAATATTTAAATGAGTGGGGTAAATCTGTCAGATATTCTTGTATACTAAGAATACTATACTATACTATTTGTGTAATATATAATATATAGCTTAATATCAAGATTTAAATTAGCCATATATATGTATCACTTATAATAGTGTAGATTCTTAACCTTAATACATACGTTATATAAGGTTAAAACTTTAATATTTTGTGGTATTAGCATATTTGTCAGTTAAATTTTTAAAATATATTATAGATTCCTGACCTTAAAACTGAAATTAATCTGGTAAATTTATGATACATATAAAATAATACTTTAGGTTGTTAACCTTGATATGTAAATCAGTCAGTTAACCTTGTATGTTATATAGTATAGTTTCTTGACCTTAATATTTAAATTAGTTACATATCTTTGTACAATACATATTATTGTAACGTTTTAACCTTAATATTCAAAGTAGTGGGGTAAACTCCGGGAATTTTAATCTTAGAATCAAAATTATTTAAGTATATTTGTGTGCTAAATACCATTTTTGGTTCTTATTCCTAATATCTACATTTCCCATGCAAATTTGTTACGTATAATATAAAAGGTTCTTAACATTATTATTTAAATTTGTCTGGTAGCGGCTGTGGCTCAGGTGGTAGAGCAGGTTGGTCAATGATCAGAAGGTGGGTGGTTCGATTCCAACCTGTGTCATGGTCGTTGTATCCTTGGGTAAGATGCTTCACCCACCTTGCCTGGTGTGAATGTGTATGAATGGATTGTTTGGGGTGTTGGTCAGAGGGGGTGTAGACTCTATCAGTCTGCCCCAGGGCAGCAGTGGCTACAATCATAGCTTACCATTAGCTCATGAATGTGTGTGAATGAATAATTGACAGTGTATGTGCTTTGAGTTACTTCTTGAGTAAGAAAAGCACTAAATAAATCTAATCAACTACTATTATTATTGTTATTGGTATATTTACATAATATAAAATATTGTAGATTCCTAACCGTAATGTTTAAATTAGTCGGGTAACTGTATGTTATATATATAATTAAAGATTCCTAATCTTAATATTGACGTGGTTTTCCATAATATATGACAGAATTACCATAAAGACTTTATTCAGCCAAAAACATGGCAGACGATATAGTTTAAGTATTTTTTTTGCAGTTTTTTTTTTTTTTAAGTCTGTATAACAAATCTTTTCTACTGGATAACTGGAGAAAAAAAATAGTGTAATTATAAAAAGATCTCTGTGTGATGAAGCTGATTTAGTGCAGATATCTGAAGGGACACAAACTGACAAACAAGGATAAAATCAGCTTTATTCATGATCAAAACCATCCTCACACGTTAAACTCATGGAAATGATTTTTATTTGATGATTTCATAGTAAGATTCTCTTCAACACAATCCGTCTGTTAGACCCAGAACCTCAGGTAATCAGTGAATTCCTTGTCAATAATGATCAGAATAACTGCAGGTTGAAAAGGTCTTGATTGTAAATCATTTTGAAAATGAAAATATTTCCTCTGCAAAGAAAATAAATGCAAGCATAGATGTTTTATACATTTACAAAGCGGTGATAATAAAATACCTGTAATGGAAGAAGGTCTACTGAGAAACAGCAACAAACAGATCAACACAAATGTTCATCCGATATTTCAAGCACAGAGAAGTTTACATTTTTCTGTTCAAAATAAAAATCATCATGAGCTCAATCTCTGCGCAGCCAAGAAACACCACAGCAATCACAGACAGAAAATAAAATGCAAAACTAAAAAACACAATTAACCCCCTGAAATGTGACAGATGCGAGTTTATTTGAGTTTACAGATCTCAGCTGATTTTCCCATCCAGAGTCCAGCATGCAGTGGCTGTGTGAATGTGGTCTGGACTCTGTGGAGGAGAGTCATGGTTTCAGTGATGCTGTAGAAGGACAGAATACCTGCACTGTGATCCAGGTACACTCCTACTCTGGAGGACTGAGGACCTGAGACAGGAGTTATGATGTTGTTGTGCCAAAATGCATAGTTATTATTGGAACAATTTAATGCCCAGGATTTGTCATTTTGGCCAAAGGTACACTCGTTCCCGCTCCCTGCTCTGCTGATATTCTTGTATGTGACTGCTACATAGCCTTGATTTTTTCTCCACTTCACCTCCCAGTAACAACGTCCAGTCAGACTCTCTCTACTCAGAACCTGCAAATAAAAGCTGAATCTGTCTGGATGATCAGGATACGACTGTTGTTGTCCAGCAACTGTTACTTTTCTGTCTCCATCAGATAAAACCAGCCATGTATTTGCTGTGTTTGGATCCAG